ACATTATATAGTACATTTTATGGGGGCAAAAGGAGTTTGCTATTGATAAAAGAATCCCAGAGGCTCTCAATTGTTCAAGTTTAGTATCAATAAAAATTTTGAGGGGAGAGATTTCATTAATGATCACGGCCTAACTGTATCCCCCAGAATGACCAATTAAAGGGCAAAAATACATTGTAATTGTTAAATTTTTGACTTAAAAAATGGAGGTCAATAGTCCACTTGTATGTGACATATATTGATGCCTTCTGTCGAGAGTTTAAAGTCAATAATCACAGCAAAAAATGTCATTCAGTGTAACTTTATTTACTGTTTATTGCACATGATCTGAGGTCTTTCATTTCTAACCACCGAAGATTCAAAGGACTATTTTTTCCATGAAGTTTAACATTAACATTAGTGAATTCAGGTATTCCTGTGTTTTTATTGTAAACGTCTGAATTATTCACATTGCCATAGATCCTGAACTCATAAGCGTGGACCATGCACAGGCTGGCAGCAAGCCAGGAAGCCACTCTGCAAGCAAACAGATACTCTGATAAGGAGAAAAGTCATAGCACAACATTTAAGGTCCAGCCTGAGTCACCTCAGAATGTTACATATATGGACTTCTTAATTCATATAGTATCGGGAACTCAACTGCTTGGTTGGTGATGGGGTTGACCTGGTTTCGGGAGGATTATTCCTGAAATAGTTAAGGAAAGGGGGCTCAATCTTTCTTCTTGGTTGCTTGCTCCTCCCCAGCACCTTCATCTTTCTTCTCATCCTCAGCTTCTTGGGCATCTTCTCCTTCACCTTCACCTCCTTCTTCCTCCTTTGCATCCTCAAATTCTTCCTTGGCACCTTTAACATTAAGAAAAGTACAAATTCCAAACCCAGCGTAAGTCCAGGCCAAATATATCTGCTTAGGTATTGGGGAGAATCACGTCAGAATGCTTCCCGCTCTACTCTCCCAAACACACGCCGCTGACAGCGCCAGCCAGGAATGCTGTGCCCCTGAACACATACTGAAATACAGTGAGATTACTTCTAGGTACTGGAAGCTCTCCAGGACCTCAGTATTTCTTTTATTATTATGCTTAGTATTTGGTTTTGTTCTTTAGGACACCAAACAGCTGTGGTCAATGAATGTATTTTCAAATGTTTAGTAGGAATGACAAGACCAGGAGGAGGCTATTTCTAAATGCTATTTTCAAAAAAACTACCAAGCTAAGCAGAGCTGTGTATGTCTGGGAAGATAGCCAATTTGAGAAATCAGGTGCTTACTAAAGGATAAGTGTATCATTTAACATCCTAAACTCATATATGAATGGAACTTCTTTGGAATAAGCAAGGCTTCATTTATCTTATTCATGTCCTAACAAATACCCACGCTCAGTTTGCACTTGAAGTTGTATGGTTGTTTATTTTAATCATACCTTCTTCCTCTTCCTCTCCCTCTCCTTCCTCTTCCTCAGCCTCTTCCTTCTCCTTCTCCTCCTCTTCAGCTTCTCCTTCAGAGGGGGGCTCATCCTTAGCTTCCTCAGCTTTTGCAGCCTCGATGGTCTCCTCCACCTCGATCTGCTCCTCCTGGACGTGGCTGGTGTAGTAAGAAGGGAAGGAGCGAGCGGACATCAAGTAGGAGCTGGTCTGTAAACCACCGTAGGCAGATCGGCCAAAGACCTGGGAACTCTGGGAGTAGCCGCTGGCCATGCTTCCCACGCTGGTGAAACTCAGCCGGGTCTCCTCGCCTTCCAAGAGTTTCCTAGGGAGGCAGGGGCAGGATGGGGGTAACAAACATGAACACAGAAAATGTGCTGAACTACTTGCTCTGAGCCCACCACTCCACTCATCACCTCCCCCTTAATGCCACACCCTTAAGGGCACATGCAAGCGGGAGCAGGGGTGGAAATTTCAAAACCTAATAACTGAAGTTGTTGTGAAAGAGACCAAAACAACAAAACCAACAACACACATTTTTAAAAACTTTTAAAATAGTCCTATTAGATTTAAAATACATTGGGAAGCTGGAAACAGGACCCATTCTTACAGGGATAAATTCTTATATACTTGTCTAAATACCTTATTGGAAAAAGCCAGAAAGCAACCAATTATCTCAAGGACTGTTCTTGAAGGTCTGATTCAACAGTGAAACTGAGAGTAGCTGCTGGCTATGCTTCCCATGCTGGTGAAACTGAGCCGGTCTTCTCACCTTCCAAGAGTTTCCTGTAAGCTGCAATGTCAATGTCCAAAGCCATCTTCACATTGAGGAGGTCCTGGTATTCTTTTAAGTATCGTGCCATTTCACTCTTCGTAGTTCTCAACTCATTTTCCAATTTGTTGATTGTGTCCTGTTGGAAGACAAAAAAGAAAAGAAATCCAAGCATACATCCCTACCACTATCATTTTACTTGTAGTATAGCTGCAAAGGCCTGCGTTCAATTGGACTCAAAATGCACACCTTAAGAAAAATCTCCCCTAAATCAACTGCCTTCTCTGTTTAACCTTTCCTTCCTTACAAAAAATAAAATAAAATAAAAAAATCAGCTTCATGAAACACGAGATGACAACAAAATAACAAATTTTAAGAAATGATCAAAAATTATTTGATGGAAAAGAACATTTTTTGTTTTCTTTAATTAAGTCTATGAACTTCATAAAATGCTTTCAAGGAACTAAAGCGATTTTTTTTTAAACTTTGTCTCTCATTCAATGCTTAACTTTATCCAGGTCACATTCAAGAAATACATTTATTTATAGGAGAAAGAAATAGGTTGATAAAGAAAAATGATTTTATCTAAAGTATTTTCTATGTTGCTACATGATTTTTCCTCCTCCCTAGAAGATGAAGAATCTTAAAAAAAAAAAGTCTTATTGTGAATATCATTTCCTATTACAGTTTTGAGTACTCCTATCTACCTGCTAAGTTAAGGTAAAGGAGTGGTGGGTAAAACTAGTCAGAAGCATGCTGGTTGGTCACAGGTATTTGTCGAATCAAATGGTCCAATCCTCGATGCAGAGCAACTTGTGGCTAATGCAGGACAATAAGAGAGGCCAGAGGCAACGCCCAGCTGCCACCCCCACTCCTTCTCCCACCCCACGCAACATCCTGCAGGGCTGGGCAGCTTTAATGCGGAACTTAGATTCCATTGCACCAAGCACAACTTCCCAGACCTCAGTGTCGCCCCCGCCCCCGCCCCGCCAAGCCCACCCTCGATTGTGCAGCCCTCACCCCCAACCCCGTGTTTTGCCCAGCGCCGTACCTGCATAGCACTAATGTCGGCGTTCTGCTTATCCTCCAGCTCTTGCAGCTGCTTTTCCAGCGCCTCGTTCATGCCCCGGCATGCTTCGATCTCCAGGGTCTTGGCCTTGAGCAGGCGGCGGCTCTCGGACACCTCGTCCTTGGCGGCGCGCACCGCGTCGGTGTTCTTGGCGGCGCTCTCGGTCAGCAAGGTGAAGCGGCTCTTGAACCATTCTTCGGCATTCTGCAAGTTCTTGGCAGCCAGCTTCTCGTACTGGGCGCGGATGTCCTTGAGCGCGGCGGAGAGGTCGGGCTTGGAGGACACGTCCATCTCCACGGAGATCTGCGCGTACTGGATCTGCGCCTGCAGCTCGGCGATCTCCTCTTCGTGCACCTTCTTCAGAAAGGCGATTTCGTCCATCAGGCTGTCGATGCGCTTTTCGAGCTCAGCGCGGGCGAGGGCCGCCTCGTCCGCACCTTTGCGCGCCTCCATCA